CCGAGAGCTGGGGATGTGAATCCATTTTTGATGCAGAGGAGGGGCACTTGGGCTGGCTCAGAGGTTCCTGTCCTCGTGAGAGTACTCGGAGTCAACTGTGAGAAAGAAAATCATACGCAATATCTGAGTAGTGTGGCATGGGGCTCGAACCCCAGTGATCCCCCTACTCACCATCACCAAGGCCCTGACCAGAGTCAGACACTGTGGCTGTCACCTTCCAGGATACCTGAGTGAGTGAGACACAAAATTAGAAGGCATCTCTAAAGCTGCAGTGGATCCCTGCTCCTCCTGCTGCCTCCCCAACTCACCTAGAAGGCTCCTCTCTCTTCAGCTGCTCCCAAGACCGTCCCTGCAAATGAAATGGGTAAATGCTCAAACACTGAGCTCTCAAACATTTAGGGATGGTTCACAAGGAAAGCCAAAAACCTCTAAACCCCATCAGACTGCACACCGAAGCGTTGTTACACACTGTGAAGTGGACAGACGGTCGCTGCAAGAAAACACGGACGTGGAGGCTTGTGCTGACGTACTGCCTCAGACTGGCTGTCTCGGGCTCCTTTAGCTTGACCTCTTATCAGATGGACCTTTGACACCTTCAGCAGATGGGCAAAGGGTTGTGTATTGCCTAGAAAAAAAAATTAAACAGTTACAACCTATATGCACAGACTGACCACATAGATGACATCCTAAAACTAACTCCAAATTTGGTTGGGGAGTAAAATTCTCACCTCGCTCGTCTCCCTGCTGAGTCGCTACCCCTTGAGACTGATTGGGCCCCATCTGGAAAAAAAAAAAACAAAAAGGCACAAGATAAAGGACTCCTATGGCTAAAACTGACATCCTTCATTCAACACCCAAGACAACCTTCTTCCCAGCCTGCTTCAACTTGTCTCTGTCTGGGGTACACTGTGTCCACTTATCTGAAAAAAAAACAACAAAAAACAGAGGGTTAGTCAGGTCACCCACATGGTCACTGAGACCTGAACCACTTCAAAGAACTCATTTCCACTGAGCGAGTGAGAACTCTGACCGCAGCATACAAGAATACAAATGACAACCCAGCTTCGAGGCCCTGGTATCCAAGTACCATCAGCTCTACAACACTCAGCTATAATGATTGCACACGAGCTATGGACACCTGCTCCATCCGGCAGGACCGTACAGCCATCGGCTCGACTGCCTAAGGTAACTGATATGTTGATTGATGTGAGACTGAGCAATATTCTATCTACCCACTGATCCATGTAGCAGGGCAGAGCAGTTCCAGGCTGACCCCAAGTGAGACACCCCATACCCGTGACGACACACACCACGTGACACAATTAAGAGACAAAGGACACAAAACATGGACGAGACAAAGGACGTGACACAGACTGGAACTGCTCTGCCCTGCACACGTGAATCCAATGATACAAAGTAAGCCCTGCCTTTGATGTCTCCAAATAACCTG